AAGTTTTGAGTAGGGGTAAAAATCATACCAGCTAACTGCCGATTCCGGTTCGACTCGGGCGGTTCCCGATCAAAATGCCAAATTTTATAGCACTGATCCAGACTCCAGACACACCTAACTTTTCTTTATGACAACTTTGCAGCAATGCTAAACAAGGGCATCACTGGCCACACAGTTGAAGTTTTGGAGCCAATAACTCATGCATTTTGAAAATAATTATTAGGGATCATTTATAGGAAAGGGTACTTTGGTCCTTCACCCAAAGAGTTCAGGGTAATCCAACTAAACTGCTTTTTCTTTTTAAAAAAAAAGGCTACAAACAAAGAGATTTTATCATTTTTATGTAGTGGAAAATGAAACTCACCCCTGGTCAATTTGGGCTGCACCATGGGCTCACAAGTGTTTTTCTTTCTAGTATTTAATTTTTTTTGTCAGTGAGGTCACATGTGTTTACATAGGCTTATGACTAATTCATTTCTTTAATGTTTTGTTGAATTTGACTAATGCATTTACACAGGGACTATAATCTCTGACAGGATCTATTATTTTGCACAAAAATATCAAAAGCAGTAACTTGGACCACTTTGGTCACGCAGATGGTTGCAACTTGTATATTTAATAAAGGATTTTGAACTACATGACAGCACTTATTTTTTGAAAGTTTGCAGGCCACAATGGAGAGAGAGATGTAGAAAGAGAGGGAGATTGATAGAGAGATCACAGAACAGACGTTTGGTCATGTAGATATTTTCGAGGCCCCTTTTGAGCAGCTATCAAGGGCACAACTGTTTTACGTAATACCATGCGTCGGGGTCGGGGTCGTGGTGGTAGTATCTCCATATTTTAATCATCACGTTACATTGTGGTTTTCATTCTCACTGATATCAACTTACTAACATTTTAAAAAAATAACTTTCGAACTATTTGAAAAAATGGATAGAGGCCTTTCTTTCCTCCTGAATTACTCCAAAAAAAAAAAATGCCTTGTGGCCTTCACTTCTAGCCAAGTTGCCAATGTTCAAATTCAGCCCATCTCTATGTGCACTAAGTAAGAGAACACACACCCCCCACTCACCCACAAATAAAATATATGGGTCAAGGTCCCTAGCCCGCTTTATTCAATCTGTATAGTTACACTGATTATTGCCAGAGATGTCCACCAAGGTCTGGGCTTGGGGTATATATAGACCCTGAGTTACTTTCAACTCATTTGAATCACATTACAAGGGGTGACCATCCAATGTACATAGCTTGGTCTAGGGCACCTGCTAGCTAGCTATTGATGCATACATCCTGAGCAATTACAAGATCCCTCTTGTAATTGCTCAGGACATACGCAGGTCATGTCCTGGGGTGAAGCCACTTGGCCGGTCAGCCTAATCAAGTGTGTAACTAACTCTCCCTTTCTAGCAACCCACATCTCGGCTGTTTTCGACACATCGCAGCATGTCTCGGTCAATTCGAATTCAAATTCAAACTTGGCGGCCCTGCAGCCTAGGTGCCTTGGTCCCTCACTTAACCCATCTTTGATTAGTGCCATCATGTGTTGTGGAGGTTCATGCCCCCACACGATAATGCAGACTTGTTTTGTCCACTGGTCGACCCTCTCAAATAAGAACGTAAAAACTGGGCAGCTACAAGTGTATGTTGTTCATTGCAAAGTAGCATAGGTGCATATGCTATGAGCCCAGGGGATAGCCGCCTGGTTCGGTGATTGCACTAAGGGAGGTTTTCTGACCATGCCCTTGAGAAATACACATGCAGCAAACTAAGGTCCTAACAATAGGCCGATTAGTGTCTTAGGGGAAATTTACTAAATTGCACTAGTGATTTGAATTATTTAACGTCTTATCTGTATTTTTTTTATTTGATTTCAAGTTGTGATTATTCTTTTGATAAAAATTCAAATACCCTAATAAGTGACGCATCAAAATGGGTTTTGAAATTCATTAAAATATTAAATAATTCAAATTTTGGGTATATTTTAAAAAACTTCCCTATTTATAGCTGTCGTGAAAATAAGTACTCTTAAATTGTCATAATGACTTAGTAACAATATTCAAGCTTTTGATAAAATGCCAAGAGAGTTCTTGTGTGTACCATCGCAAAACCTAGATATTGGTGGAATTTGGATAATAAACAGGCCTACGTTCCTGCAACTGTGGCCTTGAATGAGAACGCGCCAACATGCGATACCAGCACCACTAAAAGATATTTTAGGTAAATTTATCAAAATGCATCTAGAGATGACCTAGTCAATATTTTATTTTATTTTTATGTAATTTCAAAGCGCCCATTAAAATATACATGAGTTGAAATAGTCGAAAACTTTAAAATGTTAAATACTTAATAAATGCCGTATATTTTGATACGGTGTGGTTTTTATAAGGCCAAGGCATTAACAATCAAAGTGAGGTGCTCCTTCAAATAGTGTCGAAAGATGATTCAATATTGGAAATCTTTGTGATGGCTTGAAAATTTATTTTTCTCTCTAATTATAAAATTTAAAGTTTCAAAAATAGTATAGATCGAGCAGATCTATGAATACTTATAAATTGACCGTCCGAAAATTTATTACACGATGCACTATTTCCGAGATTTGAAATCCATTTTTTCTCATGTCTATGCATCTTGAGGTCGAGTTGATCAACTTGAGTATTTTGAGCATCAAAACACCTTCTTCTAGTGAAATTTTTGAAGTGTGTCGTAATTTGATTGTTTAGGGCATTGCCCATATGTTTTTTTCCATTTTGATAAATTTCACTCAAATTTTGTTTCCACTGCTGATAGGGTTGACCAAGATAGAGCCTTTTGAGTATGAGTAAGAGTAAGAGACGCACTTCCCTGTTCTCTATTTGAGCTATCATCCATGAGAACCCCTACAGAGAGAGCATTCCCCATACTCTTCTTGAGAGATAGAGAGGGAATGCATCTTTTCTCTTCCTCTCTGTCATAATAGGAACACTTCTAGCGTTCCACGCTAGGCAGCCCAGTGGACTTGGCCGGCCCATGGGCCTTTACGACAGCAGCGTAGTTTCAAGCAGAGGCACAAGCAGCCAAATGAGCTTCAGCCTGGCCCGAGCTTATGATTCTGGCCTGGGGCAGGCTTGGGCTTGATGATTATAAAAGTTCAGGCAAGCCACGCCAGGCTAGGCCCAATGGCAGCTCTACCTATATGCCTAGAGCTGCTAGTTGAGTCGGGTTCAGGCAACCACAAGTCCCACAGGGTGGTCCTGGGCCTATCCCTTGCTTAAAATGTTCCAGGCTCAGGCCTAGCAGTAATATTTTTGACCAGGCCAGAGGGCTGGCCCCTTGGCAGCCCTCCACACTGACACTGAGTCAATCCTCAGGTTTGAAGAATTCAACTTTGTAAGGATACCCCATCTATTATTTCTTGCTCATAAATTGAGACAGGAAAAAATTTATATAAAGTTGACACATTAGAAGGTAGAATTAAGACGCACCTCTAAAATTATTAAAAGAAAAAAGATTGTTTAGTGTTGGAAAAGCATTTTAATTTATTATAGTGATATCAAGATATATAGATATGGAGAAAAACATATATTTCAAGTCCTAAACATAATACCACTGGTAAGACATTATCCAAACCATCCATTTTCAAGATTTTCATGTATTTATAGATCTGCTTGATTTGAACCATTTTTTTAATTCAAAATTTTATAATTAGGATAAAAATAGAATCTCACACCATCCCAGAAATTTTCAACACAAAAAATGCATCTCTGGATAAAGTTTGAGGTGCACGTTGATGTTTAAAGTTGCCACTTTATGCAAACTGCTAACAATTTAAAACGGGTATGGGCTCATCATCCCCTCTGAATTACCCAAAAAAACCTATAGTACTCTATACAACAGTTGTATCATAGTATAATACAACGACACTTTCAGTACTCTATGCACAAGTCCCTTTTTTTATAATTTTTTAAATTTTTCTAAATAACCAATCCGGTACATGGTACATGAAGTATTGGAACCCCACTATATATAATTGGTTTGACACTTACTACTAGTGATTTAAAAATTGGTGATCCGATCCAAAATCGAGTGATGCGGATTGAGAACTGTCATGGCCATCCCGAATCCAACAAAAACCGGGGATTCGGTCGATTCAAAATAGTAAACTCGCCGGTTTTTTCATAGAACCACCTATTCTTCACTGAGTCCGACCGATTCTAGATAAAATCAAGTAAAACCTCACTTCAAAACTCATCAAAAAATTATAGTTTTACACATTTGACAACCTTCAAATCAAACCTTCATTACGGTGGTGAAAAAAAACTAAGAAAAACCCTTCACCACCATTATCAACAAAGAGACTATTTATCCTTTATATATAAAAGTCAATCGTTCCCCCTCTCATTAGATGTCAAATTGGGTGGCTTACAATGAATCACGAAGTCCAGCAATTCTTTTTCTTTAAAACTGTCTATTGGATGGCCTAATATGAGTCACGAAGTCCAACGAATTTTTTTTTTTTGAAAACCTTGTCTATTATGACCCTCTTACAACCACCCATTTTAAATTCAATAAACAAAAATGATTATGACCAAGTACAAAAGGTAAATGGCCTCTTTGTAGATAATCCCATATTGTAATACATTATCTAAATCATCTATTTCACCCTAAAAATAAGTATTCACACATCTACAACATCTATACCTTAGTTGAGTTTCAACTTTCATAATTCGTGTTGGAAATTTAATTTCAGAGCCCCCATGGAGATTTTGATGCCTAAAATGCTTTGAGGCTTTAATTTGTTTTTAGAAAGCCTGGGCCTTTTAAAAAATGCATCCTAAATTAAAAATATAAGAAAGTGGGCATACTTTTAAACTATGAAAGAAAAACGAGATTTATATGCTAAAATTTCCCTTAGAGAAACATTACTCTATGCATGGTAAAGAGAGAGAGGAAGAGAATCATTCAAAGAAACTAGATGAAGTAAAAACAAATATGAATATGAGTGAGGAAGAGAGATTTTCAAAGCCACGACACCAATGTCCCATTGTATACAATCCATAAGCAAATGTGGAAATCCGACTTTTATGCTGTAAAGTGGAGTGAACCTCTCCTTTGATTACAAGCAAGATTCTCGATCTACACTCTGCAACAATATATTCAAAAGAGAAAATACATTTGAGGTGCAACATAATAAGCTTACAGAGTCTCTACAAGGTAAAGGGATGATTTGTTATATGGGCTGAAGCCTGAAACAAGATCCAATTACACATTCAATTTTAACATGGAAGGAATTTATAATGGATAAAACCACTAGTCAGAGAGGATATAAATAATAAAAAGTTGCAGAAAATGGAACCCACTTGAGCCAAAATTAAGGAAATGGCTAGAGTCCCTCAGGACACCGTTCTCCCGTAACAGACAGAGGCTATATACAGATTCTTCGACCACTTCTCCTGTGAAGATTTGTGGATTAATTAGAGAGAGAGAGAGAGAGAGAGAGAGAGAGAGAGAGAGAGAGTAGTAGAA